CATCCCACCCGCTTCCCTTACCCCCCCACTGTCCACATCCATAGGTGTACAATTTGTGCCCAGGCTCTTCCTTCACCCCCACACCCTTTCCCCTGAGAACTGTCAGTCCACTCCCTTTCTATGCCCCTGATTCTATTATATTCACCAGCTTATTCTGTACATCAGATTTTTAATTCACTTGTTTTTAGATTCACTTGTTGATAGTTATGTATTTGTTGTTCATAATTTTAATCTTTTTAACCTGAAGCTTTACTGTAACAAACCTGTTGGAGCTGCATTTGGTCAGTTAAGAGTGGACGTGTGCTTGTTTGTCTCCGTCTGGAAAAAGCCAGAGGAGTTCCATGTCGCCAGGGCTGGGGTGCCAGGGGCTGAGCCACAGCCACTCCATTAGCCCCGGGGTCGGTGGAGAGCACAGCTTGGCCTGGGGGAGGCCACGGCCACGGTTGTCCAGGTTCCCCTCGCCTCTGCAAGCCACTCCTCGACGGGCCTGTGGGAGAGACGCCCACAGACCGCCTCCTCCCGTGGGTCCAAGCCATCTCACAGGGAGGGGTGGGACTGACCCCCTCCCCCGACTGGGCATTAACATGGCTCTGCTATTACAAACAATTTCTCTCAGAGCAGAAGCTGTCCGAGCTGTCACTGACTATGGACGTTTCGGGGTCTTGTCAGTACACAGATCGTATGTCTGTCACCCTGAGCCTCTATGTTTATAGAAGCTGGAGGGACGACGTGGAGAACTGACTACGGACAAGGAATGGGTATGGGCTTGTTTGGATATTCATCTTGGCAGGTTGCTTACCAAGAAGAGAGACGGCAGATGTTTTTAAATTTCTGCTGAAAATTCACCAGGTTCTGACAATAATTCTGGACTCGAAGCAACACATCCATCCTGCCTCTTAGTTGTAAGATGGTTATGTGGGTTTGTTTGTTTGTTTGTTTTTAAATATATTTTTAATTGATTTTTTTTTACAGAGAGGAAGAGAGAGGGATAGTTAGAAACATAGATGAGAGAGAATCATCGATAAGCTGCCTTGCACACCTCCTACTGGGGATGTGCCCGCAACTAAGGTACATGTCCTTGACCGGAATCGAACCTGAAACCCTTGGGTCTGAAGCCTGACGCTCTATCCACTGAGCCAAACTGGTCTTGGCAGATGGTTATGTTTCATAGGCTGTGCTGACAGAGTCTCACCGCCCATAGCCACACCTGCCCGCCCTATCTCTGTGTCACCCCGAGTCCCCCCTCAGGCCCTCGCTCCGCAGTCTGCAGGCCGGGGCACCTCTGTCCACGGAGACTCACGGACTCCACCTTCCCAGCGAATTCCCGCAGGTCCTCAGCTCCCCCGATGCGCCTCCCTGTGGCATGGGGCGCCGGTGAGAACATTCACTCTTATTCCTGTTCCCAATGGGTCTTTCCTAGCACCAGCGGCCCCTCTGGTACGAGTCCCTCCCTCTCTCCCCGAAGGACGGCCGCGACCACCCCATCCTATTGGCGTCCGGCCCGTGCCCCCGAGACCATGCCTGTGCCCGACGCCTCGGCCTCAGAGCTGCTGTTGATTGCTGGAGGCCTGCTGTTCCGTTTTCACTTTGAATATTTAACAAAGTCTTTGAAGGAGCTCCGGGGGTGGATATGAAAAGCCATTCTGATTAACTTCCTCTCTGAACGTTGATTATGAAGTTTGTTTCTCAGAATTGAGGAGGAGGAAAGTAAACAAACAGAAATGAAGGGATCCTCCCCAGACACATGGCCCACTGCTCCCAGGAGTGTCTATCACGGGAGACAATGTTACTCATTTTTAAAAGTCCTCACCAGGGGACGTGTTTATTTAATTTGGAGAGAGAGGAAGGGAGAGAGAGGCAATGACTGGTTGCCTCCCTTACGTGCCCAGACTGACCCGGGACCTTCCAGGCATGGGGGACGCTGCTCCAACCAGCAGAGCCACCCCCTGCAATGGTCAGAATCCCCAGGGAGGCTGGGTGTCGGGCAGAATCCCAAACCTTACGCAGTGGAGCCACGTTGGCCCTCACAGGCCCCTCTGAGAGAGAAATAGGGAGGACCATACCCTCCTCATCTCCTCTCTGCCCCCCTCCCACGGTCCACCTCCCACAGAGCAGGGAAGCCTGGGTAAACCCGTTTGCTTTCTGGCCGGAGCTCTGGGAGAACAGGGTGTGGGTGTGCAGAACCCAGGCCCCACGGACCAGCCCACAGGACCGCTGAGCCCGCCAGCACCCCTTCCCCAGAGCCCTCACGGGGGTGAGAAGGAGAACCCCTATTTTGTAAAATGCTGTTTGGAATTCTCTGCTGTGGTTTTAGATGGCCTCTTATTCTAAAAAAGTAACTGCTTTCTGGCCTGCGTTAGCCTGCTTGAATAATGAGGAAGATAAACTTAGCTGCCTGACCTTGTAGGCCAGAGACTAGATATGCCCGTACTCTCAATGCCATGCCAGGTGCATTTTTTAATTGGATAGAACTGTGTTGTTTTCAAGGCCAGCAGCGAGATAACCATTGAGTGCCCATGGGGCTGGCTCTTTAATAAATGGGAAGTTCTGTGTGTAGCCTTGCTTAGTATTTGAATCCATTTTCACTGAGCCCTCCGGTGAATGAAATGTGACTCCAAACTCTCCGGCATTTTGTGATTATTCCGGTTCTCTGTAACAGGGGGACACCCCAGGCCGAGCTCCCAGCCGGACTTCTCGGCGTCCCACAGTGTCACGCGGGAAGGGCGTGGCTTTGGAGGTGCCACAGATCTCTCTTCAAGGTCGATGCTGGTTAGGGTTTGGTTCTGCTTTGATGCCAGCGTGTGAGCAGAGACAGAGGCAGTTGAGCTGCCCTGGGTTTCTGGGGGGAACATGAACGGGGGCACAGGAATCGGGGTTCTGCTCTCACTGGGCCTGTTTCCTACTCTTTTTAAAAAGCAAACTTTGCTGGGGCATGAATGGATGCCTGGATTTGCCCAGAGCACGCCCACTGGGTGACACTGACTCGGCCTGGTTCCTGGCTGGCTGGGCGTGGAGCCTGCCCCCTCCGGTTCACCAAGTGGATTCAGCACTTTGCTGGGAGAGAACATATGTGTGGCTGAAACTGGTTTGGCTCAGTGGATAGAGCGTTGGCCTTCGGACCAAAAGGTCCCAGGTTCGATTCTGGTCAAGGGCATGTACCTTGGTTGTGGGCACATCCCCAGTAGGGGGAGTGCAGGAGGCAGCTGGTCGATGTTTCTATCTCATTGATGTTTCTAGCTCTCTCTCCCTCTCCCTTCCTCTCTGTAAAATAAATCAATAAAATATATATATTTTTTTATAAAAGAATAAATGTGTAAGTCATGGGAAATGGTGGATTCCCTCCAAAGGCACCACACTCAACATTTAGGAGTGAACATCGCGGCGATACGATCAGTTTTGAAGGTTTACTTTCAACCAACCAAGTGTCTAGGCGGGTCAAACACATCCTTATAGAAGGTGATTCCAGGGGTTGCTTCTGTGCTGCACAGGCACACGGGACACATCTTGATTTGGTCCCAATACGGACGAGTTGGATGGTCGGACGTGGGGAGAGGGGGCGTGAGGACCAGCACTCACACCCCCGGGGCCGGAGCCATCTGCCCTGCACAGAATGCACCTGTGCTCACCCCTGGGGAAGGTGGAGCGGGCACGTCGGGAACGAGGGAGCTGGGAAAGTTAAGCCTGTCTCCGCCGGGAGCTCGGACACCCTCTAACTGAGGAGCAGAGTTCCCCAAGGGCGGCGTCTTCTGATGGAAGGGAGCCTGTGATGTCCTCTGACTCGCGTCCGCCCCACCTCACTGTGTGCGTGGGCGGGAGCAGGTGATCCTGAAGCCACAAAACTCAGGCGCCTGCCGGTCCCTGCCCACCCGAGTCCCGGGTCTCATGGCCTCGTGTGCAGCACGTGCGGAGAGCGAGACGGCCGGGGACTGCCTCCCAGGGCTCCGACTCGCGGACGCTGCCCTCGGCCTAGGCTCTGTCTGACGTCTGAATCACTTTTTAAAGATTCATGGAAAGTCGAAGGGAGAAGCATGGGACCGTTCACGTTACAAAGCAGCCGCCTCTGGCATGTCTTCCCGTTACTAGTTACCGCGCACGCAGGACACAAGTGGAAGGACCCTAGGTTCGTACTTAAAGGAGGAGCTTTTTTTCAGCAGAGACGTCCGGGCTGCTCAGGACGAGCTGCTGGGCGCAAGGAGCCGCCGTGCCTGGCTGTCCTGCTCTGAGAAAACCGGCCCTTCGGACCCTCAGGGCTCACAGCTGCGCGCTGTTCACTCTCTAGGCTCAGACCCTCACACCCGTCTCCCATGCCATGGCGGCTTCAGGGGGACACACCATGTCTTGTCTTTAACCTTAAAAAAGGGTCAGGCCTGGTGCAAAGTGCATACGGATGGTTTTGGGGGACAGACATTAATGGAACACACCAGCGTAGCTGCTGGGGAAAATGAGCAGAATTACTGTAACAGCTTTAATTTTATGTACACGGATAGAACGTGTCAGCTCTGCACAGAAGACACACACCAGCACGTCAACAACCCGCTCCACAGAGAAGCGTGTACGATACAGCCGACCGGAGCTTGGATCCGATCGGCACATCCACGGGAGACCTGAATAGTTTACGACCACAGACACACCGACATTTAGAACAGGACTATATAAAATAACTTATATCGATATATATCCTAGCATCTATCAGGAGGACTGGCTTGCAGGTTGGGGGATGTGTGCAACGAGTGGCATCTCTTCAACGTCCAGGTAATAAAATAATTTAGAAGCAGTCCATGCAGTGGTTGGGGCAAGGGCAAGGACGGTGGCTCCTCCGGGCGGTCCGTCTGTGACATTACACACCGGGCACCCTGGGCACGTGAGGACCCGTCGCACTTCTGGAGGGGACTGCGGCACCCACCGACACCCGAGGACTCCCTCCCTCGTGCTCAGCGGCGGGCTCGTGTGTCTCCTGGAGGCCCTGGGACAGGTCCACGGGACGACGCTCCTGCCCCAGGTCACGAGCAGACCCTGCGGGTTTTGACGACTTTGCTCTGGTACCGGACGGAGTGCCCGCCGTGCCCCAGGAGGTACACGTCCAGCAGGTAGGCCCTGCCCGGCTGGAGGCCGCGCACCGTCTCCGTGGTCACGGCCCGCTGCGGGTTCCGGCTGTGGAAGTACTTACACAGCACCTTCTCCGACCTGTCCCTCGTGTCCGGCCCCAGGCACTGGTTCCGCGCCCTCCTCCCCTGCCCGTCGGCGTCGGCGCCGCCCAGCTCCCTCTTGTAGAGGCAGAACTTGCTCCGCTCCTGGGTGCCCAGCCAGGCCACGGTGGCCGAGGAGCAGGTGCGCAGCCGGTCGAAGGCCTTGACCCGCGTGTCCTCGGGGAGGGGTGGGAAGGCGTGCTTGTCCGGCCGCGTGGTGGCCAGCACCTTCAGCAGGGACGCCCCCTGCCGGCCGCCCGTCAGCCGGAGCAGGTACGTGGCCTTGGGCCGGCCGCGGAGCAGGAGCTGCCGCACGCCCTCCACGCGCTGGGACAGCACCGGCCTCCCGTCCCGACGCACCTGCACCCGCACGGCGTCCAGGCAGGCGTGCACCAGGAAGGCCACCTTCTGGTGGGAGGCCGCGGGGGCGAACCGCAGCAGCGCGGCCCCCCGCCGTTTCACGAACACCTCGGTCGCCTTCCCTTCCTTCAGCTCCAGCGGCGCGGGCGCGGCCTCCTCCCGGGTGCGGGCGAAGGTGCCCACGTAGGCCGTGCTGGCGTTGGTGCGGGCGTTGGCCACAAACACGTCGAAGTAGTACTGCGTGCCGGGCCTCAGGCCGGACACCATGAAGGCCGTCTTGTTCCCGACGCAGACCTTCCGGAGCTCCGCCTGGGGCGGCCGGGGGGGCGGCCGGGCCCGGGGGCCCCGCGCCCCGCCGCCCGGACTGCCCGGGGGAAACCCGAAGCGGGCGAAGTCAAAGGGGCTGAAGTCCCGGCCGGGCCGCGGGGCCGCCATGAAGGCGTCCTCGGGGCTCAGCCGCGCCTCCACGGCGCACAGGCTCTTGAAGTTGTGCTCGCGGCCGACGACCACGCAGTAGGCCACGGGCTGGTGCGGCCCGGCGGCCGTGGGGCTGGGCTTCCAGGCCAGCGTGGCCGTGGTGTGGCCCAGCGCGGTGACGTCCACGCGGGGGTCGCGGGGCAGCTCGGGGTAGGGCCGGTCGGACGCGGGCGTGGTGGTGGCGTAGACGCGGAAGGGCGCGTCCCGCTCTGTGGACAGCAGCTCCAGCCGGTACAGCCCCGCGGGCGCGCCGGCCGCCGCGAAGGCCTCCACGTCGTTGCCACGGTAGGAGAGCAGCGTGGCGCCCGCCCCGGGCGTGGGCCGCGGCCTCTGCTGCTCCAGCGGCTCCGGCTCCTGCTCCTGCTCGCCTGCAAGTGAGAGCAGAGGGTCCGTCAGGGCTCGGCTCTCAGCCGCCTGCAAACCCCGGGCTCCAGGCCCGTGTCCTCCACCCTCACAGCCACGCCTGCTGCCAGCAGAGACCTGGGCAGCACAGGGCAAGACGGAAAAAGCCCTCCCAGCCAAAGCCGGTTTGCCTCAGTGGATAGGGCGTCGGCCTACGGACTCAAGGGTCCAGGGTTCGATTCCAGTCAAGGGCACGTACCTTGGTTGTGGGCACATCCCCAGAAGGGAGTGTGCAAGAGGCAGCTGATCGATGATACTCTCATCGATGTTTCTAGCTTTCTATCCCTCTCTCTTCCTTTCTGTAAAAAATCAATAAAATATATTAAAAAAAAAAAAAAGACCCTCCCAGTCCCCCTGGCTGGCTTGGTTCTGCGGGCAGAGCAACAGCGTATGAGCCAGGAGGTCAGGATTTGATTTCCGGCCAGGCCATGTGCCCGGGTTGTGGCCTCGATCTCCAGCGAAGGGCGTGCAGGAGGCAGCCGATAGATGATTCTCATCACTGACGCTCCTCTCTCGCTCTCCCCCTTCCTCTCTGAAGTCAGTACAAACATATTTAAAAAGAATAAGAAGTCATTCCAGTCAGGGTCCTGAGCAGCCCATGGAAGGTTTGGGGTTATTCCCATGCAGCCTTCATTTTCTTTAACATCCTATCTTTCACGCTTGTTTTTCCTTGTCACCGAATCACATTCTTCTTCATGCCTGTGTCCCTCTGCCTCTGGACAGACCCCATTGCTGACCCTGTTTTCCTCACGGGAGACCCCGCCTGAGGGTGAGACGCTGGTGGTTTATGACCGTCGTCACAGGCGGTGCTGAGATGTGGGTGAGGCTGTGGTGGTTTTATGCTCTTTCTCAGGAGAGACCTCGGTGATGGAACTTGTAGGTCACAGACGGCAGCCCTCCGAGCAAGAGCCACGCCCACCATCTGTCCACAGATGGGATTATCCCTTCAGCCCCACCCCACTGCCTGCTCCTCGCCAACCTGCCCTCGTGGGCACCAGGCGAGCTCCCTACGTGCAGAGTGGGGAGCTCAGTCAGGAACATGGGTCCCAGAGTGATGCGGGGAAGGCACTGGTAGCCAATCCCATGCCACAGAGATGGTGTGGGGATGAGAGCTGGCCCGCGGAGCCCGCCTTTCCCAGCTCGCCCTGCTAGGGGCAGGCAGGGGGAATCCTGTACTTAAACCCGAGATCAGCAGCCCTCACAGCACTGTTAGCTTCCTCTCCCAGCCTCCTCCCCTCAGGAGCTGTCACATCTCCGGGCCCACAGCCCGTGGCAGAGAGCGGCTCCCAAGCCCGAGGCCTCGCCCCTGCCGGCAGCACTGTTCGGCCCCGCAGGCTCCTCCCCTGCTCTGATTCTTAGCCATTTCCTGACACCTTCATCGCACCTCCTCCAGCTGCCCACCCTGTGCCTCCTGGGACGTGCTTCTCCCCAGACTAAGGGGCCGGACACCCTTTGCAGTCTCCACACCCCAGAGACAGAGGTTTGTGGTTGGTGGGTCACTGCGGGCGCTGAGTCCCAGAGCCCAGCCCCAGGGCGTCTCAGACCCACTCAGAGCCCAGGGCATTCACTTCCCCCCTTGGGGGCTCCAAGCTCAGGCAAGATGGAATCCCCAGCCAGAGCAGGGGAGCAGGCATAACCTCCACCTCCCCGCCCCCACCTGCTCCCTGACCTTCCTCCTCCAGGCCATGGACCTCCAGTGCCTCCCCATCCTCCGTGCCTCCTCCCCGTCCTCTGTGCCTCCTCCCCGTCCTCCGTGCCTCCTCCCCGTCCTCTGTGCCTCCTCCCCGTCCTCCGTGCCTCCTCCCCGTCCTCCGTGCCTCCTCCCCGTCCTCCGTGCCTCCTCCCTGTCCTCTGTGCCTCCCCGTCCTCTCACTTCGTCCTCTCACCCTGTCCTCTGGTGTCTCCCCCACTTCCCCTCATCTCCATGGAGAATCGTTAGTGCCCCCTGCATGCACCACTGACTTTCTGCACCACCAGGAGGAGAGGCCATTTCTTGCCACAGCCACACATGGGGCCTGGACCTGCCCCGCTCCCCTGAGTCTCCCCTGCTCCCCTGCACCCCCTGCTCCCCTGAGCCCTCCTACTCCCCTGAGTGCCCCCTGTTTCCCTGTGCCCCCCCCCTGCTCCCCTGAGCACCCCCCGGTCCCCTGTGGGCACCCCCCTCCATTGAGCTCTTCCCCTCCACTTTCCTCCCGCTGCCCGCTCACCGGAGCCCCGCCCGCTGGCCTCCTCCGGCAGCTCCTGCAGACTCAGCCGCCACTCCAAGGGGGTGTCGCAGGGAGTCACGGTCACAGACAGTGGGGTGTTGTCCTCTTCCACCACAAAGAAGTACCTGCGGAGCGGGCCGTGCGTCAGACCGGGATCCACTGAGCCCCGTCGGCCGGGACTGTGGTTAGTTTTATTCTACGGACCAGTCAGCTCCTCATCTGTTACATTCACTCCACCAAACCGTGTCCTCCAGGCAGCGCCGAGACGACGCCCAAACCATAGGCCACCTCCGTCCCTGTAGGACGCGGGCCCTCTGCCACTGTTCACTTCGAGGACCGGAGGGTGACAGGCTGCCGGGGCCCAGGGGGAGGGAGCCAGCTCCCCTCATCACTGTCAACCCAAAGTGAAGAGACAAGAGAAAGAGGACCCAGCCGAAACCGGTGTGGCTCAGTGGATAGAGCATCGGCCTCCCTACTGAAGGGTCCCAGGTTCGATTCTGGTCAAGGGCATGTACCTTGGTTGCAGGCACATCCCCAGTAGGGGGTGTGTAAGAGGCAGCTGATCGATGATTCTCTCTCATCAATGTTACTAACACTATCCCTCTCCCTTCCTCTCTGTAAAAAATCAATAAAATATATTTTTTTAAAAAGAGAGAAAGATGCACCTCAGCCTCTGGACAAAGGGATGGTGTGGCACAGTCTTTCCCTTCAGAATGCTGGATGCCCCAGCTAAACAGAGAAGCTATTTCTGAAATGTGGTTGAGTGGGACCTGGGGTACCACAAAGTAACTAATTCACATAGAACCAGCATAATGAAGGGTATACGCATATATTCTTAATTACGTAACACACTAGAGGCCTGGTGCATGGAATTCGTGCACAGGGCCCCCTCAGCCCCGCCTGCACCCTCTACAATCCAGTAGCTCTCAGGGATATCCTACTGATGGCTCAGGCCCACTCCCCATGGTTCTCTGCTCTCTGTGGGCCTGGGGTTTTGCTGGAGCCATGGAGATTAAGCCCCATGCCCTGCTCTCCCCTCTCTGCCTGCCACTGCCATGCACCATGCGAAGGAAGCCCCAATGCCCTGCAGAATGCTCTGTCTGCCAGGCCTGGGGGCTTTCCTGACACTGACACACTAAGGAAGTCCCCTGTTGTCCTGGCTCTGTCTGCTGGGCCTGGGCGTGTTCCCATCCCCTCTGCCTAAGGAAGCCCCCAAGCCCTGCTGTCCAGGCTCTGTCCGCCGTGTCTGGGGCAGATCAAAAACCTCCCCAGAGACAGATCCAGCCTTGCTGTTCCTATAGACAGACCAGACACTCCAGCAGTGGAGCTGAGGGGACTGGGTGCCGCCATCTTGAGGCTATGGGGACTGCAGTTTTTGTCGTGGCATGATGGTTAATTTGCATATCATTCTTTATTAGATAGGGCTAGAGGCTCAGTACACAAATTCATTGCTGGGTGGGGTCCCTCTGCCTGGCGGGCCATCAAGGTCTATCAGGAGGCCAGCCGGCTGGGGGGAGGGGCTGTGGGAGGTTGGCTGTGGGAGCACACTGAACACCACCTGCACTGAGCATCTGCCCCCTGGTGGTCAGGGAGCATCATAGCGACTGGTCGTTAGGCTTTTATATACATAGATAATTCGTTTTTAAAGGTCGGGATGTTTTGAAGAACTACGTGAGCCCCCAGTTTGAAGAGGCTGGCGTGAAGGTAAATGAACAGGGTCCATGTTTATCACCATTGGTTTGATTCTTTTAGAATCCGATGATATTGGTCAGAGTCGTGTTATCCTTCTAAGAGCAACTGCACAACGCTGAGGAATCACCCACGTGCGTCTATGAATCTCATTTTAATCCTAGAGAGCCCGCCTTGGAAATGTCTCTCTGTCCTGAAGAAAAGAAAGCAGCCGTCCCAAAGGTAAGACATGGAAAAATCGCCCACCACCCAGAAGGCCACTGTGGGCCGGAACAGGTGCCCCCGCTGAGGGCTGGCAGCGGCTCCACATCTTTCCCACGAGAGGGCCCACCTGGCCAGGCCGCCCGAGGCCAACTCCACAGCGTACAGGCCCCGCATGCTGGCTGACACCCTGATGGCCCACGGGGAGGGGTAGTCAGGGGAGGGGGTGTCGGGGTACCTCTTAGGCGTGTCCAGGCCAACACTCTGAGGAGCCCAGGGAGGGGGTGTCCAGGGAGGGGCAGGTGTCAGGACAGGGGGGTGTCAGGGGAGGGGGATGTCAGGGGAGGGGGAGGGGGTGTCGGGGGACAGGGTGTCAGGTGAGGAGGAGTGTCGGGGGAGGGGGTGTCAGGGCAGGGGGTGCCTGGGGAGGGGGGGGCAGGGCAGGGAGTTGTTGGGGGAGGGGGTGTCTGGGGAGGGGGTGTCCGGGGAGGGGGGTGCCGGGGGAGGGGGTGTCAGGGGAGAGGGTGCCGAGGGAGGGGGTGTCAGGGCAGGGGGTGCCAGGGGAGGGGATGTTGGGGGAGGGGGTTGCTGGGGGGGGTGTCAGGGGAGAGGGTGCCGGGGGAGGGGGTGTCGGGGCAGGGGGTGTCAGGGGAGGGGTGCTGGGGGAGGGGGTGTCAGGGCAGGGGGTGTCAGGGGATGGATGTTGGGGGAGGGGGTTGCTGGGGGGGGTGTCAGGGGAGAGGGTGCCGGGGGAGGGGGTGTCAGGGGATGGATGTTGGGGGAGGGGGTTGCTGGGGGGGGTGTCAGGGGAGAGAGTGCCGGGGGAGGGGGTGTCGGGGCAGGGGGTGTCGGGTACCTCTTAGGCGTGTCCCGGAAGAGGTAGCCGCGGACCTCCGCTCCGTCGGGCAGCACCGCGGAGTCCTGGAAGAGGGCCTGGTCGAGGACCTGCCTCTGGAAGCGCGCCTCGTTGCGGGTGGGCAGCTTCTGGGCCCGCGGGCCGAGGGGCAGCAGCAGCCACAGCAGCCACAGGGGCAGGGGCGCCATCCTGGGGGAGGGAAGGGGCGTCAGGGTTACGGGCAGACATGGGCGGCGGGCTCCCACCCTCAGCTCTGAAGGTCAGGGCGCCTCACGCACCCAATCCTGACAACAGCTTTGCTGGGTTCCCCCCGGAGTACAGGGTCCCACTGAGTACCAGCAGGCGGCTCAGTGTGAAAACGAGGTATTTTAACAAACCTGCCTTAACGGTTATTCAGAGTGCGCGGAGACACTCCAGGACGGAGTCGGTGAGGGACGCACGAGAACTCCAAGCAGGGAAAGGCCGTGAGAGGAGAGGACCCGCGGTGCCGTGGCCTCCCTGGTGCTCAGAGGGGGAACCCATCTCCAGCGGCAGGAGCCCGTGGGGTCACTGGAGGCGCCTGCAGACCATGTCTCCGAGTTTGACACCTACTGTGCTCTGCTGAGGGCCAGGGAAGGACCAGCACACAATTACTTGTTCATTTGTTGATTTTATTTTATTTTATTTTTTTTTAATATAGTTTATTGGTTTTTTACAGAGAGGAAGGGAGAGAGTTAGAGATATAGAAACATCGATGAGAGCGAAACATTGACGAGCTGCCTCTTGCACACCCCCTACCGGGCATGTGCCCGCAACCAAGGTACATGACTTTGACTGGAATCGAACCTGGGACCTTTCAATCCGCAGACCAATGCTCTATCCACTGAGCCCACCGGCTTCGGCCATTTGCTGATTTTAGAGAGAGTGGGAGGAAGGGAAGAAGAAAGAGGGAGAGAGGGGGAGAGGAGACAGTGATCACTTGCCTCCCGAAAGCTGACATCTAAGCATGCGCCAGGGCTGGGAATCGGACCCACCTCCCCTTTGGTGCACAGGATGGTCTCCAACCGACGAGCCATGTGGCAGCGCCCTGCACAGTCCTGTGCATTCTTCCTCATCACCCGACTTCCTCATCACCGGAGCTGTCCGTGGACAGTAGTATTCTTACTCCCACACCCAGGCTCGCACAGACCCGAGCTTTCTGCAGAGGCTCGGGCTGAGCGTTCTCTCAGGTAAAGCGGTTTGTTAAGAAATGCTTATTTCACCTCGAGGAGGCCTCAGCACGCTCTGCAGTGGCACCCGGCACTCTGCCTCCCAAGCACGAAGCCGGCCTCTCTGAATGGGAGGACTTGCTGTCCACACTGACCGGGGATGTGGAGCCAGCACGCCCCTCACACAGCCCGAGAGGGCTGGCCCCGGCGGGTTCGCCCCAGAACTGCTCACGGCAAAGAAGCAGCCCCAGGAGGCCCTTGGAGCGACCAGCCGGCACCCGGACAGCGGAGCTGGGCGGCTGCCCAGGCCCGGGGCCCTGGGAGATGCAGGTCCGCCCCGGAGTTAGGGAGCCAGCTAGGTCTGAGGGTGGAGGATCCCCCAGCATCCTCGCTGCCCCGGCAGCACTTCCACTTTATCCAATCAGCTCACTGTAAGAGACGGGTTTTGAGTTCACAACATTAATAAGTCTTGTGCCCATGCTGCGTGCCACGCACCCTTCTCCTCGCTTTACCTACATGGTCTCCGGCAATGCCCGGACCACTCTGCCATGTGGGCACCGTCACTTCTCTCCTTTCTTTCCAGCCAAGACCCCAGAGCGAGACTGCGCACTATTTATCACCAGTGACTTTAGAAACTTGGTGAATATTATCATGTATTCCCTCCCCAGCTATTTAGTAATTTAATTTATTGATAGTAAGGCAGGCCACTCCAAGGTCAGGTTATGCAGGTACATGTTGAGACAGTTCCCTGGGGGCCTGTGGGCCGGTGTTTGTGTCTCCAGGGAGCAGAACAGGCTGCCGTGATGTGCGATCGCCTTCTCCAGGAAGGTGTTCAGTGAGGAACCGTGGAGCAAAGAGCAGGCGTGTCACTGCCCACTACAGAAGGTGTGGGTCCCCCTGCACTGCTGGTGGGAATGCAGACTGGTGTAGCTGCCGTGGAGAACAGCATGGAGCTTCCTCAAAAAGCTGAAAATGGAACTCCCAATTGACCCAGTGATCCCACTTCTAGGGCTATATCCCAAGAAACTAGAAACACCCATCAGAAAGGATATATGCACCACTAGGTTCATAGCAACACAAGTCACCACAGGTAAGATCTGGAAACAGCCTAGGTGCCCATCAGCAGATGACTGGATTAGAAAACTGTGGTCCATCTACACAATGGAATACTACATTGCAGTAAAAAGGAACTCCTACCATTTGCAACAGCATGGATAGACGTGGAGAGAATTGTGCTAAGTGAAATACGTCAGATGGAGAAAGGTAAATATCACAGGATCTCACTCATTTGTGGAATATAATGAACAACATAAACTGATGCACAAAAACAAATCCAGAGACAGAGAAGCATGGAATAGACCGACCAACCTCAGAGGGAAGGCGGGGCAGGGGGAGATGGGGGTAATAAATCATCCAAAGGACTTGTATGCATGCCTGTGAGCATGATCAATAGACACAGAAAGTAGGCGGTGAGGGCATGTGTTTGCGGTGGGACTGGCCCCGGAGAGGTCCATGGGGGGAAAGGAGGCATATGTCATAATCTAAACAATAAAATTTTTTAAAATAACAAATAAATAAATAACAATGGAAAAGATGTGGGTCCCCGGGCTCAGGGCTGCTTCTCTTGTAATAAACCCATCCCACAGGCTGGTGCCATCCCCTGAGAAGTGGGGGCCAGGGCGCCGGGGGAGACGATGCTGACCCTGTGGACCCTGTTGCTCTGAGGACGAGGTCCCTGACCTCTGACCCGGAGTCTGGGCCCCGGCATTCAGACAACCCGGCGGGCGGACTCGGTGGCTCACACATCGAGGGAAACCCCAGTCTCCCCAGCTCTCCACTCTGAGCACTCCCGTGGTAATCTGGTTACCAGCTCATCAACATTCTGCCTGGGAACACTGCCCGTGGGGACAGACTCAACTTTACCTTTGGCTTTCTCTCTATAGAACACCCGCTATCCCCAGCTAAAATCCTGTCAGCTCGCACTTTTTATTTTATTTTATTTTTAAAATATATTTTATTGATCTTTTACAGAGAGGAAGGGAGACAGAGTTAGAAACATTGATGAGAGAGAGTCATCGATCACTGACTCCTGCACACCCCCTACTGGGGATGTGCCCGCAACCAAGGTACATGCCCTTGACTGGAATTGAACCCGGGACCCTTCAGTCTGCAGGCTGATGCTCTATCCACCGAGCCAAACCGGTTTCGGCAGCACTTTTTATTTCTGAAATAAATCTAACCATTTCAATCGTCACATCGATCATGAGCAAGAGGGATGGGTGCCTCCTTTTCTCTCTCTCCTCTATTTTGCTTTTCTTGTGCCCATGTGAGAAGAGGGGTATTAGCTGACCCTCCAGTGGTAACCACGTCACAGTATATGGAAGTTAAACCATCATGTCTACTCCTTAAACTTACACAGCAATGTGTGTCCATTACTTTTCAATAAAACTAAAAAATAAAAATAAAAAAAAGCACAATCCCAATACACAAGATTTTCTACCCAATAGGAGTCTAGTTTCCAAAATGTTACGGAATCACATTCATTGATTGTTGGGGAAATGTAGTCAGGTATTAGAGGAAGTTACTCACTTACTCAATCAGATCAGTATAAGGGGAAATTATTTTTAACAAAAAGTATTTAAAAGAAGCACTGAACAGCCCTGGCCTGCATGGCTCAGTGGGTAGCCCGTTGGCTTGTGGACTGAAGTGTCCTGGATTTGATGCTGAACAAGGGCGTGTACAGGCTCGATTCCTGGGCCTGGTTGGGGTGCATGTGGGAGGCAGCCAATCTATATGTCTCTCTCACATCCATGTTTCTCTCTGTCTCTCCTCCTTCCTTCCACTCCCTCTAAAAATCAACAGAAAAATATCCTTGGGTGAAGATCAAAAAACAAAAAAAAACAAACAAAAGAAAAACAGAAAAGAAAGGAAAAAAATAAATAAAAAACACATTTTTAAAAATAAAAAAATAAAAGCAGTGAATATACCTAATCAAAAAGCTATTTCACAGACATGTACATATTCTTACAATTTATATTCAATGATTCAAATGTAAAGCTTTACTTATTCTTATAATTTCTCCTTATTGTTGAAAGTGATACAGATGTGTCTTCCCTCCCTCCCCCCCCCTCACCCCCGCTGACTCCCTCACCGGCTCCCGCCCTCACCCCAGGCCTCACTGCACTACTGTGGGTCCATGGGTTGTGCATATGTGGATCTAAGTTATCTGGTCAGGGTGGTTTTAAGATTTTATAGGCTCTTTCCCTCCAAACAATAAAATACTCCAATTCAGCTTGAGAACGAGTCACTGTGGATAAGTGACGGAAAAGCCAGGGAGTGAGCCAGTCCATGGAGACAGTCGTTTGTTCTAAGATTGCAAAAGTGCCCTCTAATGGCTTAACGCATCCTCTCGTTTCCTTCTGTGACTTACAGGCTCCGAGCTCGTCTCGGCTGAAGTTCGAATGGAAAGACGTTTCTCAGCACATCTACGTTCAAAGCTCTTCCTTCTCCCTCTCCAGGGGCGTCCGGGGAGACCTGGCCGTCTCCCTCCAGTAGGGGTCCCACTCCCACTGGGGGGAGTTGCCGTGGTGACAGCGGGCCCATCGATGTGGCGCCCCGATCCTCCCAGCCCGGAGAGCGGGGTCTGGGTGGCAGTCTCCAGTGGCTGAGAAAACGGCCCGGGGCCAGTCGGGGGGAGGCTCCGAGGGGCCGAGCCCATGGGTCTGGCACTGACCTCGCTCCGTGGTCAGAGGCTGGCATGTGGACACACCGCCAGTCCTGCTGAGATGACGGCCTGACACACCCCAGCCTTCCATCCACGTGGTTCACAGTCTGGGCCATGGTGCCGCCAGCTAGTTTCATTGTTGGATTTGCACCGTGTCCCGGACCAAAGAGCAGGTGTTGGGAGAGATCGCCGTCCCTGGACGCCCACGTGTCCTGCACTCAGACGGTGAGAGAGGACTGGGAGCGGAGCGGTCCGTCGATGAAACTGTTTGATATGC